CTCAGTGTTTCTTCATAGAATAAAGATACTCTAAACAGGCAGGTAGTGCCTATTCACTACTAAGATAGAAATAAGCTAAAGAACACTCTTGGCGAGCCAGCAATGGGACAAGGTCAAATATCCTGTGTTTTGGGAGCTGGTTTAACTAGTCCATGACCGGTACATACTGCTTGCTTATTCTAGCAGTTTCCTGCCTGGGGATGGCTCGGTGTTCTCTGCCATCGCCTCTCAGTAAACAACATATACTCCATCACACACATGTCAAGACCTCCTCCCAACAGAGTTATACTCGTAAAATAAAAAAAAGATAAATGAGAATGTAAAGGTAGAATTTTACTTATCAGCTATTGTGAGGGGATTTGGTGCGAAGGTGGAGGAGCCTTTTTTCTCCTAAATTCAGCAACATACTGATCTGCCACTCTGTAGCAGACCCCGGTGCCTGACATCCCTCCTCATCCTGCTACACTTTGCTCCATGCCTGGGGACCCAATTATCCACATTTTTAATATTCTTTTGTTCCTTATAAACAGCTAAGCCATACTCTTTCCTTTTAAAGAAAAGCTATCTGCATGGTGGCAAAGATTAAATCTTGTGTGCATATCTGAGTCTCTGAAGAAATTTTGTTCATTTTCTTGAATGCATCCAAACCATTGCTTTATTCCACTGTTAGTTTAATCCAATGGTTCTCAAACTATAGTTCCAAGACCAGCAGCATTTAAGTCACCTGAGAACTTGGTGGCAATGCAAATTCTTAACCTTAACCGGGGATTTACTGAATTAGCAATCTAGGTCTTAACAAGAAGCCCTTCAAGTGATTCTAATGCCCACTTCCCATTTTGAGAACCGGCTTGAACTGCTAATGATTGCAATCAGCAACATATGTTTACTATTTACTGCAAAGAGAGGCTGGAAATAGCCACAGACCTTAAATGGCACTTCCCAGACCTTGGAGAAATCAGAATGCAACCTGCTCTGAAGCCAAAACAAATTAAGAAAACGTAGACCATAGACAAGATTCTCCATTTGTAGACTGCACACTTCCTATGAAAGTTTGTTATATATGATGAGTCTGCTAGGATTTTTCCAGTTGCAAGGAACAGAAACTCAAGACAGCTTAAGCAAAAACGGAAGACCTATTTTTTGTCAGATGAGCTCATTGGTCTACGATCTTCAGCCCCTTTTCGCTTAAATCCTGTGATTATACATCAAAGCATCAATAATTAATACTTTAAAATCACTGTATTTCTGGATGAAATAAAAATCTTTTTTAAAATCCAGCTATTTTGAAACTGAGAAACTGAAATTCATCTTGAATATACACAATTTAATAAACTAAAAATAGGGACCTAAAGAAGTTTTAAGAAAAAAATTTTTGACACGACAATCTTTACCCAGCCTGGTTTTCAAAAACCAACAAAAAAACTATGCTCCATTTGCAAAGTAATTTGTCTTCTCCAAGTATATTTCAGGCCAGAGAATAAGAGATGTAACAGACACTCAGAGGGGGAGAAAATGCTTTTTCCCTTGCGTATGTTAATGCATTTGGGACGGGAAGCGTTCTTTACAACTAAGATTGTGGCGCCATCTTGAGTGCCTGAGAAAAATAAGTAACTTCACTGAAATGTTCAGACTGGATTATAAAAGAACTAAAGGAATTGTAAATAAAATCCAAAATACCTGTAAGTGATTAATGAAGGAACATGAAAGGGAAGCCTAAATAAATGAAACCAGAGAATATCTCCAGATTTCTGCAACTCTACCTGTGATGGTCTCTCTAGTCCATAGCCAGAGCTCCTATCCCAGATCCTGCTACTTCAAGTGTGGTCTGGGACAACAGTTTTAGCGCCACTTGAAAGCTAGTTAGAAATGGAGATTCTTGGGCCCAATCCCAAATCCCAGACCTAATGAATCATAATCTGCATTTTCCAGGTAGTTTGTATGCACGCTGAAGTCTGAGGAGCTGCTCTCTATGCCTTCCTTCACCAAGAGGGTAGGGGAGGTAGGATAGAAAAAAGAGACAGACACCTCATCAATGGATAGAACTGCACAGTCTTAATAAGATGCCATGTATTAAACATCAGCAAGTTATGAATCCAAGCCATAAGAAAAATCAGTCATGATCATATTGAAAATATTACACATTTTTCAAAGACAATAATTTGAGGACTTCTGTTTTAATCCACAGCTTCCTAAACCCCAAAAGCTTTCCTGCCTTAATTCCATTGATCATGCCCCAGCAACTCAGCCTTTAAAACTGTAGTGTTTCCTGGATCTCACCAGGGAGCTTTCCTCTCCTGGATTCCCACTGCATTCTTCCCACTTCCTTACTGTGCTCTAACTCTTAATATTGTACAAAATGGTTGTCCACCCATTGTGGCCCCTTTTCTTGTCATTTCATTGGCAATAACCATGCTTATGCCTTTGAATTCACTCATTTGTTCAGTAATTTATTCTAATACTAAGCACCCACTACATGCCAAACACTATAGATTTGATTAAAATATAAAAGATATAATTCCAGCTTATGTATTTATAGAGTGAAATGTCAAACAATTACAATAGAACATAAATGTTATGATGGGAAAGTAGGGTGTTCTGGGGAACTTACATAGAGCTACCTAACTTGGATCTGGAAAGGTTACCTGCAATCTCATCTGAAGGGCACAGAGTTAATCAGGCAAGGTGGGGGAAGCACAGTGTTTCAGGGAGAGGGCATGCCAGCATCATTAAAACATTATCTTGGTCATAGATAATGCCAAAAATAAATGTGTGTTTGACAAAGTTTGGAGTTGTGTATTGCCTCGTGCATTCCAGTCAGTCACTTGGCAAACTGACTGGCTAATTAGAGTTGCACTAATTATCTTTTTAAAAAGAGAGATAGCTTTCAAAGTATTGGCTGTAGCTATTTTTATTTAGAATAACTGTTACTTTTGAAAACCATTTTCAGATCCAGATCCCAGAGCTTGCTATTCCACTCTAAGAAAGAGCAAAAGGAGCTTTACCTGAGTTAACAGAAATTTCAAAGAAATTAAACATCATGGAATTAAACTTGTATGCTGAACCCTCTGTTAAGTCAGGGATGGTCTGTAAATTCCACAATTTTTAAATGATCACTCTAAAAATTGTGGATGTCTACTTTCCCTTATTCCTGTCAATTTCTATGTTTGAGCCCATGCTATTAGGTACATACAAATGAAGAATTGTTATATTACTGATTGACCTTTATCATGTAATGCCCCTATTTCCAGAAATGCTCACTGACCTAAAGTCTAATTTTTCTGATATTAGAATATTTATCGGCCAGGCGCGGTGGCTCAAGCCTGTAATCCCAGCACTTTGGGAGGCCAAGGCGGGTGGATCACGAGGTCAAGAGATCGAGACCATCCTGGTCAACATGGTGAAACCCCGTCTCTACCAAAAATACAAAAAATTAGCTGGGCATGGTGGCGCGTGCC